TTGCTTTTTATATTGCTCCTGTCCTCGCTGTACGTTACAAGTGTTGATAAAAACTTGTTCAGTTTCATCAAAAAAAATGAACGGAGACGTCGTCTTCAAGATTGAACATCTTTCACCTGAAAATGGACCTCCAACGTCTAAGCACGTTTATTAAAACACTTGGTGGTGAAAACGTTTAGTATAGTAGTACATGAATATAGTGATCCATAAAATCCCCTCCTTGAACTTTTCAACTACCAGAATATAAGATTCAGCTCAGATTGAAAAATAATGTTAAATTCGCTATTGGATTTGTAATGTGTAGTACCTGCTCCCTAAAGCTAATCCACTGGTCGAGAGAGATGTCTCGCATCATAGACTTTTTTTTTGTAATTTTCACTAAACCGTATATCTGATCGATCTGTGGAAGGAATTCGTAACTTTCTCTCCTTTTGCTAGTCTTTCCGTTCTTTGCCATTAGTCTCTTCTTTCTACCATTGCTGCAGGCATTGATTCTTGCATTCTTTTGATAATGATATAGATTTGATAAAAAATCACATATCAGAGAATCCAATACGTATTTCTTACGTGTTTTTGTTGCTGTTGTTGTTCTTGTTGTTGTTGTTGTTTATCTACGTGCGTTGATATCCCGACCGAGATACCGTGACAGACCATATACACAAACTGCACTGACAAAGTTTAGAGAAAAAGATGGCGCCCGCTGTGTAGAAAATTGATCGAAGGATTCCCTGCCGTTTGAACTATGATGCGATATGTCATCATATATCGCATGAGCTGCTTGATGTTCGTTCATTTGTTAGTTACGCTATGGCCATAAGCTTTCGTATGTGAAGGTGGATATAAGCATTGTGCGGTTACACTGTTACTATATGACTGCTCATGTGGTTACTATTGGCAGTTGCAATGTCGATATTTGGCCATCCTTGTAATGCTAACATTTTATTAGCGCCATGTGTGTACTACTTGCACCGCTACATGCATAAACGTACACTTCATTCCATTTAATTTACTTAAGTTAACCGAATTTTCTTTCTCAAATTTATCTTGTATGTTATTTTACACTTTGCTCGTTAATGATTCCATTAAATATGCGATGTACAAGCACAGTCGGCAATATCGGGAAATATATTCTCTCTTTTTTTTTTACTACAAAAATTTTATTATGGTTTTTAATATATATATTTATTTTAATCTTGAGAAAAAAAGATACAAAATTGGAAATATTTTCTTGAATTGAAAACTTGCAACCGTTCTTTGTATACTAACTTTGTACAAAAACTTTGTAAACAACATATTTTTGCATTGTTAAATTCATTTTAATCTTGAAAACAAAAAAAAGAAACAAAATTGAAAATATTTTCTTTAATTGAAAACTTGCAACCGTGCCTGGTGTGCCAACTCTACAATGCCCTCCACAAACCTGTCATGTCCACACTAATGCCCTCCACAAACCTGTCATATTCACACTAATGCCCTCCACAAACCTGTCATATCCACGCTAATACCTTCCACATGCCTGTCAATTATATACACCTTCAAGCCAATTTCTTATTGTCAAGCGAAAAATGGGTCTTTGAAAAAATTTATTCTCTCACCCACGCTTGCAATAAAACTACCCTTTCCCTGAATCCATGCTTACGTAAGAGTTACACATATTTCGTAGGCTGATGCGGTATATATGTTTCCACTATTTCGGCTAATTTCCTTTTACGCCTTCAATTATTTTCATAAGAACTTTTGTTTACTTTTTATTTGAAAGAGTAAGCAATACAATGTTTTACATTAAAAAGATCATTTTGATCATAACTCATGCAAGTGCGCCGTTTGTGAATGGAATTTGATCATAATTTATGCAAGTGCGCCGTTTGTAGAGGTGACATCTGAGGAACATTAAATAAAATTAACTAAAACTTTTTAGTTGAATCAATCATTGGTTTGGGTTTATATGCCGTAGTAAAATTAAAATTCAAGTTTATTCATCAATAATTATTCATTAACTAATTATTTATAAAATATAAAAAATAAAATTATATATATATATAATTATTATATATATATAATTATTATTATTATATATATATATATATAATTATATATATATATGCTACACTGTCTTTTGTATTAGTATGCATATTTAAAGCAGTTCAGTTCTCTTCTCACTAAGTCTTCTTATTGTGTACGTGAATTTATTCGTCGATGTGAAATTTAACGATTTTAGTCTGACTTAACGATTATTTTGTGGTTCCAAGCTTTGATTTTATATTTCGTTCCCTGTTTCATAAATTATAGCACTTTTTATGGAATGAGCGCATGTTAAGCATAAAATTAAAGCTTTGGCAACCCTTATTTAAAAACATTAACTATAATCGAAATATCTTCTGCTTCTTCTTCTTGATTGCTCATCAAAAACTACAAAAAATGATTTCGTTCGAAATAAGTATTCTTCTCCAGTATTAAGTTTGAAATAAGTATTCTTTTCCGGTATCAAGTTCGAAATTCTTTGTTGAGCGTTAAGGCGAGGGTAGATTTAGGCTCGGATAGACTATTGGTATTTGATTCTTTTATTTACTTATTTATGTTAGCCGTTAGTGTTAATCATAGCATGTCCGCCATATTTGAAATCGAAACATGCGGGGTTTTCTGAGCTTAAGGATGAAAACACAATGAAACCTTGAGTGCTTTTCAAGCGTGGAAATGAAAATTATATAAATTCAAAGCTTTCCAAACTAATGTGTTATGTGGTAACGGATCAAAAAAGTGGTCCGATCAGAGCTTTTTTGATAGTGTTCGTTCTTAGGCTAAGACATGTCAGCGTACCAATTTCCAACAAAATATCCCAAAAGTTCCCGCCTGTAGTTTGAACACGGAAAAACAAGATGAACGGACGGACGGACGAACAAGCTGATCGATTCAGAAGCGATCGGTATAATAAACGGTGGGTCTATTTCAAGTCCATACGGCCGCATAAACATAATAAACCTTTGTGCTATAACTGGTGTAGCGTATAACGAAAACAGACATAAATAAGACGAATAGGGCTTTCGAAGACTTAGAAAAACATCTTTCTTTCAAGACATTTCGACCGTTTTGAGGCGAATTAAATTTATGGGACATTTTCTTTCTTTATGTACGTCTAAGCACAGGGTTTTCATAAAAAGTAATGCAAACAATGAGCATATTCCATATTCCATGTAAATTTCGAATTTTGTGTGGCAAATAATACAAAAATAACAGTTATTGTATTTTCCTTTGAAAAGAATGCTTTTGACATATGTTTGACATTATTGTGAATGAACTTTTTATTTGATTACAATTGCGACTCTGCATTTGGAAGCTTTTGAGAGTAATTAAATAATGCTTTCACAGACTTGAAGAGGATAATGAAAATGTTAACTCGTAAAAACAGAGGTGTTAAGGTATTTTGAATACGAACGCAAGGCGTAACACATGATGGACATGAGGTAGCCTTCATTGGCGGAGTTAAATAAAGCAAAATAATTTCTTAAGTATCTTGAGTTAGAAACCATATTTTAAAATAAAAATACGTAACATTTGCTGCTCGTTTTTCATACCTTATAAAATAATATTGAGTATAAACCAAAATTTCAAAACGAATAACATAAAGAAAACTTAAATTAATGTAAAAGAAACGAATGTTTGATAAATAACTTCCAAATGTAAAGTAATTCTGATTTGTTTCTTCTTTTATGTTTTTTTTTCTTTTTACATATAAAACCATATGATTTATTCATTCTGACATAGTCTTTTAAAAATTCGACAAAGCTGAGGTCCCATCCCGAAAATGAGAATAGCCCATCGTTGTGTTAGCTCCCCGAAAAACCGACATTTCAAATGCAACCCTAAAGTGATTTTTAACATAAATCAAGCAGAAATGAAATGATGAAATGGAACAATATACTTGCTACTATGTTACAATTTTGATTTGATGCCAAATATATTTTTGACAACGCTTTGTCAATGGGACAAACGAAAACAATTTGATAACTAAGCAGTCCATATGAGGAGTTTTCTTGGTTAGAAGATTTTTTACTATGTTTGTCAGACATCCGGATCTCCTAACTTGGAAAAGTGACATTTTTTTCAAAATTCGATATGTATAATAACTAGCTAATTATTTAGAATGCTGAAAAGTGTGTATTTTTCGAATTATGTACATATTGAATTCTATCCAGATGTTTCGTTTCCCGTTTTCTCTTCTTCGCCTATTTGACACTAAAGTGTTTACATTTCTTTCGCTTAATAAATGAACTATCATTCATTCTTTCATAAGAGGTTTGCGCGTAAAATTTCAAGTCACATAAATAAAATTTATTTTATTCTTTTATGTGTTCATTTCTATCTACTTTATATTAGAAAAATTTTTCTTTTGGAAACAATTTAACATTTTTTGTTTTGCTGTTAATGGTTGCATTAAAACGTTCTCACTTAACGTGACATATGATTATAAAAAAAAAAAATCACAATAGTATGACAGCTGAGAGGACAGTTTAGTAAAGAAGAGCAAAGAAAGAAGAAAAAGAAACATAAAACGCAAGGAATATTAAAATAGCAGAAAATCACAGTAGCAGAAAGAAAAAGAAAAAAAAGTTTTTGTTTTACAATATTTAACAACGTTTTGAAAATTCAATGAACTGAAGCGTTATAAAGAGCAACTTAGTAATTAATTTAAGAAAGTTTAATTATATATAAAATATTGAGCAAGCTGATAATGAAATGAATTAACAAGCAACGAAAAAATGTTATTAAAAGAAGAAAAATCTTTCTTTCTTTAATGAAAACAAAGAAGAAGAAGAAGAAGATTAACGTAAGTAATCAAGATATAGTGTACGTCGTTCGTTGTAGTATTAATAGTGTAGTGTAGTGGTAGTAATAAAAGAATACGAACACTATACCAATGAGAAAGAGTATTTCGAGTGGTGTGCAAGGAGTAGTCAAGAAAAGTGCAGTAGGAATAGTATTTATATATGTACGTATTGTGTGTGTTTGTGTGTATGCATGTGCATGTTTTAGATGCAGAAGAAAACACGAACTCTTTTTTTTTTTCCCCTTCCTTTTTTGAAGTGAATGAAAATTTCAAGAATTGATGAAAATAAAACTCATATATAGAAGATAAATGTGTCTTTAGTATTATGAATATTTGAAAAATATCTTTTTAAGAAATAAATTAAGACAAAAAGTGAAAACAAAAAGAAAATAATTTTGCGAAAAACCGGTTCCGGCTTTTTGTGCCGAGAAACTATTGCACTTTAATTGGATGGGGGTAATAAAAGAGTGCGAATGTAAAAAGTGTATGTACATATGTAAGTGCGTATTCATATACAAACCGTGGGAGTCTGTCAATATTTTTGCAAAGAGGACAGCTATTCAAGAAAAGTATGCTTACTTTCTGTAACGAATGAAAAAATTGATCTTTCACAAAATTTTTCAGGTTTACACTAACAAAAAAAAATACACAAATGTAAAAGACAAAATAATAAAAAGGATTGCGCTGACTAATATTGGGTTGGTGTGTTATTTTCAGGGTCAAAAATATGGATCATAACACACTTTACGATTGCAAATAAATCCATATATAAATCCATACGTTTCCTACGTTGGCTAACATCATGTTGGTTGCGACACCAGGACAAACAGCGACCTATGCAACGGGTCCGACTGCTAAAAAGGTAACAACATTGTCATCCTCGGCCAATGCTAATAATTTAGCGGGCACTTCGAAAGCATTAAATTCTGCCGGGACTACGTCGATCAATTCAAGCAGTGCGAATGCGAACAACAATAAAAACCTCAATAACAGTAATTCATCTACTGGTCACAATAACTCTTTTACCTTTAATACTCTTAAAAATGTCTTCATTACAAATTCCAATGTAAGGGAAAACATTCCGACTACAATAACCAAAACGCCAATGGTGGCTGCAGCGAGCAGCATTGATAATTCCTCTTCAGAAGTCATACCTGTAAACAGTAACAGTAGTAAAACTACTGCTTCAAGTTTAATGAAATCTTTAACGGTGCGTTTAAATCGTGGCACCGAAACACTTAAAGCAACCGTACATAAAGCCCTTATAACGGCTACGGCCGTTTCAAGTATAGTAGAACGTAAAACGATTACCGAAGCGATAACAACAAAATTAGCAACAACAACAACAACAACAAACATTACAAATATCGCCTCATTGAAAACTTCAAATGTTATTAATACGTCAGCATCCACCTCAGCAAGCTGTTCGGCAGCCACTTTATTAGCCACAGCACATAAATATCCATCAGCCACATTTCTCAAGTTATACGCTGTACCACCCACCATTATACATCGTTTGCCTAGCGAACGAGAACAAACGAGCAGTACTGATAGTCTCAACAAGGAAATGTGCCATTTTAAACCAATACGTACAGTGCCGACTACACCATGGAAAAGGTATTTGTAGATCAAATTTCACAAAACAAAATTTTATACGTCTTTTAAACCAAACTTTTTATTACTCATTTTTTTAATAAGAATTTCTCTAAACCAAAGCAAATGTTTTTGATGCTCCACACAGAATTTCTAAAAACTGCAGCTTGTTCTTGATCGAAAACGGTTTTACAGTGGCACGGAATTAAATAGCTATGGATGTGGATATATATTTACATCAATATTTGTTACGGATAGAGAGTAACAACTTTTCGTTTACTCTCAAGATATTTGTAGGCAAAAACGGACGTATTTGCCAGGACTTTAGTTAGTCCCAGCAAAACCATTCAGATCGATATCTGCTTTAAATTATTCGTATCGTGGGGAGGATGGCCCTCAACTTTCAATCTTGCTTTTGGCAATTGTCAGCTTTTAACTAGTTTTACAGTTTCCTCTTCTTCTTCTTCTTCTTTCATTCAGCAAGTCAACAACAGTGAAAACCGAGTTCTTTGTTTGACCCTTTTATCAGTTTCCGGTTTTGGATAGTATATAACAGGCATAAAATCTTGTGCTGTCCAGGTATATATATATATATACCTCTCGAGGAGTTTTACTTACATTTTTTAATCATTTATTTAATTTTCTTTTCTTTTTGACATCTTTTTCCGAACAATTTATTTTAAATTTATGACGACTTTCATCATCTAGATCAACTCGTTATCGAAAACTTATTTGTAGGCATTGCATATATAAAAAATTCAAGCATACAAATTTTTATAATTGGGTTTTGTTCAAAAAGAAAATTTAAAAGTCATAGAAGAAAGAAAGTAAACAGTTATGACATTTTTTACTAGACCAAAGTGATATTCATAACTTTTCAATACCTTCTCAGGATGACTAGTAATATCTGCTTATAGGTCTGTTTGCTAAAAAAAAAACGATCATCCTGTCAGAGAAAAACAAAGTTGATTTCAAAAGTTTTTTTTAATTGGATTCGAAAATCATCTAAATCGATCCAAAGATTCATCCACTTTAAACTGGAGGCCGGTTTATGAAACCCTTCTAATATATATATACATATATATGTATATAACTTTTCAACACCTTCCTTAAAAGAATTATCGGATTTCTAAAATGCCAGCAACTCAACCAGGATGAATATCAATAGGTCTGTTTTGCTAAAAAGGCCTCATCTCAATCCTATTTTGCGTTTAGAAAAAGAAAGTCGATATCAAATTTTTTCTTTTTTAGTTCGTTGCATAGGAATTTATTTCATAAAGACATAGTTTAACTTTATTTTTATTAAAGCTTTTCTTTGGGCAAACCTGTTGAGACCCGTTTTTATGTTTTCAAAGGCATAGTTTTCTCTGCTTCGTCGAATGCTGCTTGAAAATGTTTTCGGACACCTAATTTTAAAAGGCGCGTAGAGCCATTATTATTATCATTAATTGCGTGGGCAATCCTTACCCCGACCTAGAAAATCTGTTGTACCCGCATATCCTTAGCTCTTTAGTTTTGGTATTCATTTGAATCTCTTCACCTTCTATGGTATAAAGCACTATATCGTGCCCGGTGTTATGAAGTGCTCGCTAAACATACCCTGTCTAATTCGGCGGACAGTGTCACATTCACATAGAATATGATATGTCGCTGTCCGCTGTATGAATTTGAAGTACATATACCTGATATACATAATAAGGTCTTCACACTTAATGAATGCATTTTCGGCGAACTGTTTGATCGAATCTATAAAGCAAACAAGCTACAAGTGCAAGTAAATGTAGTCGACTCTAGCCGAATACAAAGCTATTGAAATATATATAAATATCTGCAAAATGCTGCCAAATCATATGAAAATATGAGTGAGATGTGTTGTAGATTAGGTACAGTACGACAAGTGAAGCTTATTTCGATCAAATGAATTTCGATTTTGTCGATTTGTAATCAATAATGATTCCCTAGCTAATCAGGGATATTACAAACTTCATGTTGGATGAGCTTCTCTCTTATCGTATAAATCGACTTTCTTTTTATATAATTTGCGACTTTCTTATCATATAATATATTGCGACTACCAACTAAGCGTTCGCGGGACGGTTCCCTACCTAATGGTGAATCACCTATAATACTTTTTGCCTTTCTTGTATTATAACCTAACGTTCTTTCTTATAATATATAACCTAACGTTCTTCACGAAGACGCGTTGAGATGAAAATAATTTCATTTATAAATGTCCGTTAATACGCAAGAATTGCGACTACCAAGCCAGTCTTTTGCGCGTTCCACGAATACAGGACAATCTCTGAGTGAATGGTCCATATTAAAAACGAAAACCAATCTTGGGAGGGAAAAGTTAAAATAAAAAAGAAAAGAAACTTAATATAAAACGGACATTCGAATCGGAATAGGTTGGGAAGGAATGTAAATATAAACGTTGAAGCACCTAAAAATACTTTTATATAAGTTTTATTTGTATTTTTCTTCACATTTCAGCGGTAGCAAATCTCGTGGCGTTTCGTTACGTTTTCCCAAAGCAAATGTAGCAACAAATCCAGAATTTAGTAAAAAATCGAACTGTGATGTTATTAATAGGAAGGAGGATAAAAATCGGGATATGAATCATGACAGAAATCCTAATGAGAATCTCAAACCAAAGCCCAGGTAAACTAATCCCACATATATATATATATAAAAGAAGAGAAAAACAAAATCAAGCTACCTAAAGGAGCAACTGTGTGCGTTGCTTAAGCAATTGTCAAGTGCGTCAAGTTCTTTTTTTTTTTTTTATTTTTTTTTATTTTTTTATTTTATCCGGACACATTCGAACGTAGTAGTCTGTGAGATATCTGTCCAATGATTTAAAGAGTTTGAACGGTTTTCGTTTTTCAAAAAAATTCTAAATTCATTAATTTTTGTTGAAAGTGTCCTTTTTTCTTTTATTTTTTTAATTTTTGATATATATGTATATAACCGTTTTTATGATTGATTTGGGGAACGAGTAAAATATTTACAGAACAGTTCAGCGAAAGCAAAAGTAATTTTCAGTATCATGATAATAATGATGATTATTGATTGATGTGTTAAATATTTTTATAGCTCATCCACCTTATTGTTGACCCGTCTATTAGCTACACCCAATCATCAGTCGGCCTTTGTTTGTTTGGTGGCACAAATGGAACAATTAACCAAAAAGCGTACTAACTTGGATAACCATAGCCCACAGAATAACGTGAAAAATGTTAGTGATTTACGTAAGACACCAACAGATTTTAAACGTCCAAGAGATGTGCCATCAAGGGTGACTAGAATTCAAAAAAGGCGTTCGAATTCGATTTTTACGAATGCAAATGTGATGAACGAAATGTTAATAAATAAATTTAAGCATAGGCCAGCAACGGCAGAAGTCGCGAAAGAATCTATTAAGAGTCCACATAATGCACGCATACATAATACACGTACTTTAAGTCGAAGACGGGGTGGTAGTAGCGGAATTTCAAATATGATCACTAATGCTGATACTTCCGCCGCCATTGCGGCTGCTACAGCCGCTCTAAATAATGCCGGCATTAAAACGAGAACTACGGTTAAGATTACACCAAGTGCGTCGAGAGCAGCAGCTAAGGATGTGAACGCCACTACCACAACAGCTACGCTTAGCATTATACAAAAACCTAAACCGAAAATACTTGATCTTGTTAAATTGGCGCAACACTCTCGATTTCAATCTAAACCTCCTCCAGTCGCGACCGCTAAGCATATAAAGAGTGCAACAGTAAGTCCATCTGATTCACAAACATCGTCTAAGAGACGCCGAACACGTAAACGAAAATCATTAAATGATGATCCCGAGCCTGTCACGGCGGTTAAAATAAAAGTAATGCCTACAAGGAGCAATGCAGGAGTGAAAACTAATGCACGTAGAAATACAAGCGTCGCTAAAGTTTCAAAAGATCGTAGTGCGAAAAATGTCAAAGCGAATAGTGATGTAATGTTTAAAAAGTTAAAAGAGAAAGAAGCAGAAAGGAGAGCAGTTATCGGGAAAACGAATCCTATACAAAAAAAATCAGTTACTAGCCAGCGCCCATCGCCACCACTCACAAGGTCACGTCTGAAGGAAATGCAACTAACCGAAGCAAAAAGAACGTAAATCGCATTTCCCGTCAATCCCTCCGGCAGCTTCCTATGTCCTGTGTTTTTATATATATATATATATATATATATATATATATGTATATATGTATGCATATGTATATATATGTACTTTGCCTTTCTCCTCATGCGTTTTAAGTAAACACAGACAAAATGATTTAAATTCTAAGAACGGGGAAAACTTGTATCTTAATATCCTACAATCGCCTAATAAGGCTTAGAAAAGTTTAAAAATTCAAAAAATAATGTCAAGAACTTTTTCTATATGTATATATATATATGTATATACGTATATTTATATGTATATATATATATATTATTTTTTTTATTTATATATATTTTTTATCCAAATTTTCCCAATTACGTTAACAAATTCCAATAAACGTAAAGCCTATATCCTTATCAAAAATGACATATTCAAAGGGAAACGTTTTAATTGCATCAGATAACAACTTTTCTTTTCACTTATTAATTACTTTATGGATAATGAAAACAATTTTTGGCAATCGTCATATACAGAGGAGGAGATGCAGCTTTTTTACACGTATTTCGAGTCTAACATCTTTGCGTGGAAGGTGTTATATATAAGTTACCCATAAATTAGGTCCACATCTCTTTTTGTTTGCTATTGTTTCTAAATTGTTGTTTAATTCCAGTGACCGAGTTTGTTCATTTCATTGTAAGCATACTCATCTCGACGGTGATCGCCTCTACAAAGCTAAATTCTCCGAATTAATTTAATTAAGAATTTTTTTTTCTCCATTTTGTGATTTTTAAATCGTTTTACATACGTCATCCTAATGAAGTTTACGACCAAATTCCATATGCCATGTTCGGTATTATATTTTCTCTCGCATATGAGTCAAGCATATATGAGAGAAAGTTGAAACTTGAACCGATGAACCCAATGCATTTGTATGCATTGACATTCCGGAAACAATAAAAGTTTTCATTACTTTTTTGGGTATTGAAGAAAAAACTATAATTTTCAATGTTTCCTCATTTCCAACTGCTGGGAACTCTTGTAAGTTTGCAAGAACCCATAAGGAGCTATCTGCCTTTCGTTAGGAAGAATAGCATAAGCGAAAGCTTTAGTCGAACATCGCTTAACTAATTTTTTTACGAATACTTCTGTGTCCTTTTCCTCACTTGTCTTCACTGTCGTCGGTCCAATAATATTTTAAGTCGATCCTATTTGCCATTCAGCGACTACCGGTATTGTACTTAATCTCAGTGTTGCCCAATCAATTGTCTTAAAAACCATTTTTCTTTCTCCGTCAATACTGATGTTAATCAAGTCAATTAAACTCTGAGACCAATTTCGCAATTATAAAAATCAAGCATAATCTCACCACTGAAAGATCTATAGTTTTATAAGCGCTTCGGCGAAAGTTCTTTGACAATCTCGATCATGTCGAACAAATCAAAACCTTATGAAACTCTGACGGCCCTTTCGCAATTAAAAAAATTGGACATAACCTCAACCTTAATCAAGCAATTGTTTAATAAACCGTTTGTCTTTTCCAGCCATTATTGATGTTGATCAAGTCAAGGTTTAATTAAAGAGCGAGACCGATTTTGCAATTCCAGCAGTTGGACATAACCTCAATATTAAACAATTAGTTAGTTCGGAAGCAGTTTGCTGAAATTCATCACCAATCGCCATTGATATCGATTTAACCAAACTCAACTTGATCCAAACGAGTATTTGTGACACATATCAAAATTTGACATAATTTCAGTATTAAATGATTCCACTGTTTCAAAGCATTTACAGCAAATTCTGGTTTGAATTTTGCTAGAAACTTTCATTGTGGAAAGCGATATTCTTTAGATCTCCTGTGGCGATTGTCTACTGAAGAAAACTGCACAAGTATTTCGATTGCAACAGTTCACTATGTTTCGTCCTTACAGAGGGGTATCTAAGACAGACAATATATCGCCTTTTCATCCATCTCATGCGTTCGTCCCTTTTCATGTCTTTTTTTATTGCTGGGACTGCTACGATTGTCCACAAAATTCGTATAGAACACTGAAACTTGTCCTTTATTTGTAATTGAATGCACCATAAGAAGCTTGAAATTGAACATTGTATGTCTGCAACGAGAATAAAAGCCGAACTTATATCCCCTTATATAGAGATATATGTAAAAATGCACAGAGACTTTTAACAATTCAGTGCTAAAGTAGTCGTAATTAGATCATGAACATGTCTGTTAAAATCGAGAAATTTAGAACACCTCTTAATATCTGGAAAATTGGTTCCAATACACAGAATACTTAGGCACATACTATAGAGTATGCATCGACTGTCGTGTTGAATATTCAGTCCATGAAGACCACAACTTCGTTAGGTGATTTTCGAAAAATTTTCCCAAACAAACGATATGCGTTTTTGAGTACAATGCACTATGCAATAATTGTCAATATTGTGTTAGCATATTGGTTATCGTATTAAAGATTCCAGTCCACGACGAGTTCAATTTTTTTACATGATTTTCGAAAAAGTGGCTCCCATCGGCCAGTTAACATGCGGGTTCTTAGTTACTTTTCTTTTCGATTTTTGAAATTTCACTTGTGTACCATTATAATTTTCGTGCGAGATAGGCGTGGTTCGAGTTAGACTCCGATAAATGAATTTTAGTTTCTTAGCTGTGTGGGTATCGAGGTCTTTTATTTATTTTAGGAAAAGTTGGAAAGTTTAATTGAAAATACGCGATTTAGTTACGCATTCTCTCTGTTCAATAAAAGCTTGCATTATTTTCAAACAAAATTTATGTATATTAAGTTCGTTAGGTCTTTATGAAATAATTATGAAATTTGAGATTTTGATCTTAAAAAGAATAGAAACGTTTTTAATTCCTGATATAGATTTGCATTATAATGAATATAATTTTCATGGAATAGGTAGATTATAAGAATTACGGTGAAACTCTTTTTTTCTTTTTTTTTTTTTTATTGTTTAGGCGAAATTGTCGTTATTTTATAATTCATTTTATATATAATCTGCTATAAGTGAATTAAATGCATTTCATTTTTTAACTAAATTTTTTATTTCATTTTCATTGTCACTTTATATAATGTGTGAATAATGTGTGCTAAAACCAATTAATTATCCAAGTTTAAATTTAAACTAAACAAAAAGAATTTTTTTCAAAATATTTCCAAAAGAAAACATTTAGTAAACACTTTCCTATCGACTTTAAGGCAACATTTTTCTAAAGAAATTTTCATTTAAAAACACTGACGAGTTTTTTAACCAAAAAGAAAAAAAACTTGATCTGCCCTTCTTTAATATGAAATATCAGTAATTATATTCAAGAAAGTTCCCTTCACCTTTATCCGAATTCCCGTTTTCCTTACCATTCGTTATTTATAGTTTATCAATATAATACTTTCTCACTTTTAGACTGGATTGTCACATATTGGATATATTTATGACCCGAAGCATTAAAGTTGAAGATGTATAATTTTTTTTTTTTTTTTTTTTTATTGAGAAACTTTATCCAGATCTACGCCTAATACTTTTTTTGCACGATGAATACGTTCCTTGGGAAATCGTGCAAAAAAACACATTCTACATTTGATAAGTTTGGAAATATTTTCCATAACTTTAAAAATCGTGTAAGATGAAGAAACTCTAAATATTTTCCCTAAAAACCGTGCAAAAAAAGTTACATTGAAATTTATATTACTTGCTTAGAAAACAAAAACAATTCATTTTCATTACAGAGGGAAGATTAAAACTAGTAAAAAATTCAGTTCACTGGTATAATTAATCCGACTGAGTAGATGGGTGGATAAAAACCGTGACTTCCAAGCCAAATTTCGATGATGCAGCGTCCCTAAACAGTCAGTTGTCAAAGTGTTTTTCTTTCCCTTCTTTTTTGTTGGTTGTTAACAATTTGCCGCACACATGGCGACAAACTCAAATCATGCTTAGATTTTGGGATCCGCTATAGTAAGAGCACAGTCCTCCGCTTTAGAAAATTGTGTAGAAAATCGCATCATATTGTCTTTCTGGCTTTTAAAATATTAGGTAACTCTTTTTCTATTTGCGAGTAACATTTTCGAAAGTGAAAGATAAAAATAAAGATAAACAATTTTTTTTTAAAAAAAACAATTTTTTTTTAAAAAAAAAAAGAAAAAAAATTGTTTGTAGCAATATTTCGTCTACAACCTGAATATGCTTAGGTGATTTTATATATGACACATTCCCCAAAGGGAATAATCGCACCGTTGGCTTTATTCTTGCTCTTATAGAGAAAATAATTTCACAATAAATGCACTCAAGGGAATATTTGATCCGTTGGCTTCACTCTTGCTCACATGGGGTAAATCATTTAGAAGATACTTCCTGACAGGCAGACGCCAAATTTATCTGATTTATTCGTCATTAATTATCAATTAATCGCTTATCGCCTATTGTGTCCACGTCTGGTTTATAACAACTCTGGTTTTTCTCAATTAAATTTTTATTTAATTTATAAGTAATAAAGAATGGGGAAGAGAAGCATTTGCATGCATGCAAGATCATGTATTGGTTTTTAATAAAATTATTTTAGGTTTTCCATATATGTATATACAATTGTAAAATCGTGATTGCGTTGTATTGACTCGATCTGGCAATCTAATGCTAAGAGATTTTCGTTTTAAGCAATTTGCGTAACTTCTTTTTCATTTTTAACCGATCGAGTTTTACGTTATTAGACGATCTTTGTCGCCTTTTTCTCACGCTTTCTATCTTTAATCCATTTGTGGCCTTAATCAAATATCTTTTATCCTTAATTAGAATTCATTTTTATATTTATCTTATACACGTTCATGCCTTAGAATTTTCACCGGATCGGTTCACTTTTCCCGCTACTACCCACATAAAACCTTTTTTCAGAAAATTCCTTGAATGGAAAAGATTGCAATTTTCAAAATTATTCAATAAAACTCGCTGAGCAATAGTACTTCGACATTCTAAATTGATATGAAAAAGTTGGTTTATCTGCAGCAAAGTTTTGAACCTCTTCTCATATAAACATTCCTACGAAAACTGAATCTTAAATAATGAAAAGGTCTAATTTTTTAATATCTTAGCAAGGAAGTTAGTTCATAAAAATGAATTGACACGGAATTTAACCTTGCCGAATTGGAACCACTTAGGTCTATTTTTTGACTACCACCTGATATACGGTTTTCAGGAAATCTAAACTCTTTTTTACCAAGGAGGCCAAAGAGAGTTTAATGCTTTATGATGAAAATTTTTTTATGATAATATTTGGACATCAAAATTCGGTGAACCACATGGGTCTGTTTCTTGGAGCCCTCACTTCATTATTCCTCTTCCCTCTCCCCCCTCGCCTTCTTGTCTTATGGTTTTCTTTTTTGTCTTTATCTTATATATCTTTTACCTTTACTCAAATTTTTCGCCATCTTTTATTCACGTTCTTCCCCTTCTTCCGTGTTCATTTCAGTTCTTTTCCCATTTGTCCGTGCCCTCCCCCCCTATCTTATGTTCTATCTTTTGTCTTTCTCTCACACAATTTTTTTTTATATACAAAGTTTCTTGCCATCTTTTATTCAAGTTGATTTTAGGCCCATTCTTCTGTCTAGCTCTTTTCCGTGCATCCTTCTTCACCTTGGTTTCACGTTTTTGTTTATCTCACATAACTTTGACTTTTACACAACTTTTTGACTTTTATGTCCTGTTCGTCTTCTCCTATCCACTTTTTATCCGCTTATTATTTATCACACTTCTTTCTACTCATCTTCTCCTTCGCCACAATCTCCCAGGTTTACCTGGTGTTACGACCTTATTCAAAGTAATATTACAGAATCATCACAAGTCATCAGGCATTTCTTTCTAAGGCCTAGTCTTCGTGGCTTGTTTTTGTAACGAAAGACGACTATTTCGACATCCAATATGTCACTACATAAAGCTATGACAGGAAAACTTATTGCCATTTCTTTTATGACTAGTGATCGGTCACAACGCTAAAATATGACGGTTAATATCGTGTTGTTTACGAAGTTTGAGGTCATCCTTGAATTTCCTTTACTGTAATACAGTGTACTTGAGTTACAGTAGTTATAGTAGTAGCAGTGTTAGTAGATAGTCTTTAAAATGTTTTATTGCACACATTATTTTTGCTAAGATTTATAAAATGTTTCCTTATATCTATTATGAAAATAAACGAAACTTTAATTATTTATAAATGTTTTTTTTTTCCTTTTCTTTTATAGTCAGATAATTTAAATTTTTAAGAGTTACTTACTGTACTGTTTATGTTTTTCGGAAAACAGAAGGAAAGAAAAAAAAAAAAAAACAAATTCATGCATTAATTAATTCACAGACAAGAAACATCTTCAAAATATGTTTACAAAGTATCTTACAATTATAAACAATTTCTTTTTTTAAATATTTTATATAAGAAAAAAAATTAGTTATATTGTTTTTATTATATTTTCGAGCCACTTTTAACAAACAAACCCCAAACAAATACATTGTTATAATTTTTTTTTTAAATATATATATTTTTTTGTGTTGATTAGATTAGTTTTTTTTTATCATAAGATTAAAGTAAATAAAAATATTCTATAATTTATTTAATAAAAATGATTATTACTTTTTAAATGTAAAGCAAAAGCAAAAAAAAAAAAAAGGAAATAATTAATAATAATAAATAAATAAAAAATCGTGTGTTGTGATATGATTATAAAGAATTTTGTAGAAGAAAAAGTTGAAGTAAATAACAAGTAAAGCAATAAGAAAAAAATTTTTTTTCTTTTTTGTGAATTATTTTTAATTACTTAAATTTTACATAATTTAAATTGATTTCAATATGTATGCTCATATGCCCACCACCTAAAATTTTACCATGATCGTTAGTAATTATACTTCAACTTTATTTTCTTAAAATGATTATAAAGTCTTCAAGCAGATAAGCCATTTTTGCACAAGTCGTTTCAAAATGTTAATTTTTTTTTTTATTTTTCAATGCTACGACTTTCTTAAAAAGAACTTTAGCTTATAGTCAACAAAAACAAGGATTGAAGAAAGCGATTTAAACCTCACGTTCAGTTCGATTTCAAAGATTTTTTTTCGCTCTAAAAAACCCCAATGGAAAACTGTAAACCCGGTTCATAGTATAAAAATCAAGTTTAGACATAGCATAAATATTGATCAGTTAACCGTTTGGAAAGCAATTTCCATAATTTAATTGCAGATATAATCGCAGTTTTAATAAACTATGAACAGTATTTGTAACGATTAAAAACGTTGGACTTAACCTCAATATTTAGGAATCGAATATTTTTCAGAGCGTTTTGTAAAATTTTAAGTTTAGTCTCATTTAGAAATTTCATATCCAATCATTAGTAGAACCGGTCAAGAGAAGCTTTTACTTGGCTTTGTTCAGTATTTTCCCAAACGTCGAACTTAACCTCAATTTTTAGAAATCAACTATTTCGAGCGCGGCTGGGCCAATCTCGCGGTCGCAATCATCAGTATAGCCAATGAAGACTAACTTTCATTCGGCTTTTGGCAGTATTTTTAACGATTACAAACGTTGGACTTAACCTCAATATTGAGAAATCAACTGTTCCGGGAACGTTGTGCGAAATTTCATAGCCACTCATTAGTAGAACCGATGAAGACAAGCGTTTACTTTGGACGGTATTTTTCCGGATTCCAAATGTGAAACTTTACCTCAATTATTTAATTGCTACAAGAATCAATCAATTCAAACTCTTACCCAAATCAGGCCGGTAGTACTGACAACTACAAACGTCAGACTTAGTGTTTGGAAATCAATCTTTGGCCAATAATTGTGACGACCACAAACGTTACACTTGACCTTAATATATGAAAACCAAAACGTTTGGCGAAATTGTTTCGAAAGGAAATTTCGGTCTCAGTCCCTACTGAAGTCAATGAAATACAAGCTTTAATCGGTTTTAGTCGACATGTGATATTTTTCGGTAAGGAAATCCGACTTAAACCTTAAAATTGAGCAATAAATTGATCAAACTTTTGTTTTGGAAACGATTCATTCGAAATTTCTGGCTGAGTCACTAATCAAATTAACGGAATGCATGCTTCAATCGATTCCAGTTGGTAATCGATATTTTTAAATAAGGAGATCGAACTCAATCTTATCATTGACCATTAACTTAATCAAGATGTAGTTTCGAAAGCGATACTTTCGTAATTTCGTTCTCAGTCACTACTGAAGTTGAGAAACCTTAAGCCTTAACCGGCTTCACTCGCCATTTGATATTTGAAAATCGTTTGATCGGCCGTAACCTTAACGTTGAGTACTAAATTTTTTTAAGACTTTAGAGACTTAAGAATTTAATCGTAGATTCAATATTTTTCCCGCTTATAATTTCTTACATTCAGAAATATGGATATGCATAAATATATATAATATATATTATTTAATATTCCGAGAACATGTATATACATGAATATTTATTTTACCCGATCATCGTCTGTTACTAAAAATATGTATATTTTTGTTTTTTTTTTTTTTGTCTTAAATGGGCGTGATTCGTCTCCCAGACGTAATGTCTACATAGCCAGGCGGAACAGGCAAAAAAATTCGCTAAAAATTTCAAATCTTCTTCTTTCTTATATCAGACACAAATGCATCATTAATACATAAGGTGGTGGATTTAAGGTTCGCCTTAAGGCGTTTTCATTTTTTTTTTTTTTTTTTGTAAAAACTATTTTAATGAATTTTTTTAAAAGAAAAGATTTACGAAATAATAACGAAAATATTGTGAAAACGGAAGAGTATTATAATTAAGAAACACAAAATGAACGATGGAATCGAATAGAAATAATATAGTAAATTAGAGTTGTAGTTTACAAGCTTTAACTCTACTATAGCCGAACTATAAAAATTTAATTCGATAAAAGAAACAAAAAAAAAAAAGAAAATAGAAAAAAAAAGGAAAAAAAAGAGAACTCAAGAATATAAGCAAAATTTTTGATTAATAATATATAAATAAATTATGTAATTAATTAATTAATTTTAAATGAAAAGAAATAATTATTTTCTCATCATTCTTCTTCGACTATTAGCATCTGCTTTGGTAAAACATCCCATAAATCTTTCAATTTATAACCATCACGTATACGTTCCATGGCGAAGCCCAACTCCTTGCAATAAACCGGTTCACGTGGCGGTTTCTCGTCTTCCGTCGCTATCAAATTACCCTCAGCCAAATAATTATTTAATTTTGAATTGATTTCTTTTTCTTGACGTTCATCAATTTCTTCATATTCTTCAATTTTGAAAGAATTTTTCTCCTCCGAATCTTTCATTGATTGATTTGCCTTCTGCCTCTTATTATCGTTTTCATCGAAAGTTATACCAAAATCGGGATTCTTAGTATAGACTTTGTGCAGCGATGCAAGTTCTTTAAATACTTCTACTAAACGTTCATATGGATCTATACGAAATCCTAATATATAACGGCCAGCCGTTTCGGCAGTTTGTATAACCAATACTCGACCATACTTGGACTCGCGTATGCGTAACTTTTTATGTAAGTGGAAAAGAAAAAACATAAAAAAAAGAAAGTTAAATTATCTTAAATGGAATTCGAAACTCTTCAATTAAAATATATAACATAATATATATCAAAAACATATCACGTATGTAGGTATGTATGTGTATTACCATTCGAGTAAAAACATTATAGACCACCACCTATGCCAACCTATATTTAATTATGTAAAGACTTTGCAAAATGAGAATTGATATGAGAAGGGCCCGAAAGGGTGGTCCAATTCGAACCACGTTCAGTAGTGTCCGTCCTTAAGTCAGCGCATCTTTATGTAGCAAAGTTCATTAAAATATTTCAAAAACTGCGACCTGTACGTCGAACAAAAGAAGCAAGACGGACGGACGGACAGAGGGGCAAACAAGCTAAAATGAAAGTAAGCCGATCTAAGCTTTTGTGCCTGCTTGTCCGTCTTTTGTTGTGTTCAGAAAGCAACTATGAATCGATCGGTGCAATAAAAGGTGGGCCTGTGTGTGTATATAAACTCGCATGAACTTAATACCCATCACCGAAGTGTGAGGCCCATATTCATTTCGTTGAAATGTTCAGAACATCCAGAAGGAAGCATCAGAGACCCCGCAAATTACATATATTTTTTATCAACATTAAATTCTGAATCGATCAGTCAACCGGTTGATAATATCCGTTGCGAACATTCTCCCGTTCGCAAAAATGAAGATATCGCCCACAAATTTACAAAAGAATTTGAAAAGGACCAAAGCCGGGCCTACAATGTCCAAGCAAAAAAAAATTGTTTCCGTGTTTTGTACTCGTTAGCCATCAACTATAACACATACCGACATAAAATTTCAACTTTTATTGTAGAAAATAGAAAAATCACGTATGTTCCCTCAACATAATAGGGAATGAAAATTTCATTTTGCTTTACTAGTTTTTAAGATAACGGTGATGGGTATAAAAAATTCAATCACAATCGAGTCTAATTTTCTTATTTGTTTCATTCACATACCCTATACTACTTATGGTGCAAGGGTTTGCGCGAATGCAATGTAAAACCCAGAAGGACTTCAACTAGACTCAAATTTTATTATGGCAATCGATTCAGAAACCTGTCTGTCCGGTTTTGTCTTTTTCAGGGTAACAATGATAAATATAAAAAATGTTGTCCCACATTCTTCCAATGATTCCTTTCCTTGGAGAGTCTGCGAGGATATCGGGGTTCGCCTGTGTGCAGACTTCCTCACCAATGTAGTCAGCTACTCAGGGGGTCTAGTATATAACAAGTAGGTTGTCGAAAATCTAACGATAGCGTAGTGCAATGGGTGCCTGTTGTAGCCGGGTTGATTACTTCTCCTAATACAATAGGGGTGCCTTCCCTGGAACTATGGAAACCATGGAGATCAGGTTGCCCATTCACATAGTCACAAGTATCCTGCTTAGACGGGTAGAAGTGACAGCATTGGTTGAACTACAGATCGATGCTTGCAAAGATTTTTCCGAAGGATGCTTGCATATTGACATGCCATGTGGAAGCTTCGGTGAAAACTAGAATGTACGATGAAATTTTGAACGCAGCAGGTTAACCAATTGATTGCTTGCGGCTCTTCATGGCGCACTCATGGAGGCTGCAGTTGTCCCCAAATGCGGTGGCATTAAATAATTAAAGGTGCTTGGTAGGCCTCTCCCAGTCAAGAGGGGCCTCACCTTAACTTTCGTTCTAGTACCTAGTGCTTAGAATAGGCCCTCTCTCTTCCAGGATTGTTTTGCAAGGCTGAGAGGTGCCCAATATATTATTATATTGTCAATGGTTCTGGAGAACTCGTCTGATTAACGCTCCACGCCAAGTGCCAGACGTTAGACATCGATATAATATATTATTTCAACGCGTGAATAAATTGGTTTTGTCTTTTTCGCTTTTTTTTTTGCGAACTTTCATATAACTGTTTAACCAATTCGTATCGAATCGAGAAATCAAAAATTACATACTTACATTTTCGATTTGTATATACGGCAAAGTGATATTGAAAGTGTTATTAGCATCCGCATACCAGACGATCCGTATATTCGTTATTACAAACGTACCTAAATTGCCCTGATCACTGGATAGATTCCATACACCCTGTACCTTAGTTATAACTTGTTCACGCGGTAAAATAATTAATTGCCCTGCTTGTAAAATAGCGCCACGTAATTTCAAGTCTCGATATAAATATGAACGCTGGTATGAACTAAAGTGAAGTGAACAATTTTTTTTGGTTCATTTAATTATCAAGAAACGAAAGTAAAAGTAAAACTTACTGATAAATATCGAAGACACTCTGATATATTGGCGTATCTTTACGTTCTGGATTACGAGAAATGTCGGTAAATAAAAACTCAAAACGTGTACTCCCCTTCAAAGCTAAAATATACAAAGCCAGGGCACTATCATGATAGTTTCTATTGTTCGTTACTAAACGTGTATTAATATTAATAATCCGTGAATAACCAATCGCTGTAAATATCAAGTCAAATCAAATATTCATTTCCTTCTCTCAAAAAAAAAAAAAAAAAAAAAACTTACATAAGTTGATTTTTTTATAAATCAATGTATGCCAAATTAAACGTAGATTTGTGGCCAATAGACGTCCACTAACACCAGCGTTACCTTTCGAATCTTCAATAAAATTTATCGTAGATAGAATTTGTTCACCGTTACGTAAATTTTTTTGTCTATAAAAAAAAAAAAAATGAAAATTTATTTCTAATTTTTAAAATCTTACTAACACACAGGGCGTGTCAAATCTGATTTCCTTATCTTCCCATAGAAAATTGATAAATTCTGAGGAATCCATGGTTGGGAGAGAAATAATTCTTATATGACATTAAAAAATCGAATATCGCCCAAAAGTTTTTTGTATGCCATCGTGAAAAACCAGCGATAACCAAACATTTCTGCAAAGTGTGTTACTCGATATTCTCTACCCTCACTTTCTACTTTCGAAAAAAATCTACTCCTCCACATCCACCTTCTCCTCCTCCTCCTCCTCCTCTTACGACTAACCATAAACTCTGTGAAAGCCGAAACCTTTTCAATATTCGAAGACTCGTTTTCAGAGCATCTAACCCTATGCACTTCTTGAAAGACTTCACAAAAGTCACTTGGCTAACCATCTAATCCTTTTTTAAAAAAAAAAAAGAGTTGTTAGTCTTAGATGGTAGTGCTTATGCATTTGCGGCAAAAGGACTTAAGATGGATTCACCTTTCATTATACCGAACAGAAAATGATTGTGAAAGACCATCTTCATGCATTCTTATGTTCAAGCTACAGGTCGCAATTTTTGAGATATTTTGTTGAAATTTCGTACGCTATTAAAATTGGATCGGATCACCTTTTCGACCAGTCGCCGTATAATATCTTTCGCCTTTATTAAGCAATTTGGATAACCATCTAGTCTATCTTTTAAAAATAGGAGTTGTCTTTTCAGTGACTGCGAAGTGTAACTTTGACATCGAAATTTCCGAGATTCATATCAATATAACTTTTTGAAACAAGCCAAGGATTAGGAAACCATCTTGACAAAAAATGTAAACTGAAATGTCACCTTTTAAGCATATGTTCGTTGGAGACAACCAGGTGCATATTGCCGGATATATAGGTATCAACACCATCCCGCGGAGAATTTTCAATATGACCTAATATTTAGAATTTCGCGGGTAATTGTATTTCGTTATTCGGATAGGGCAATTTTTTGAACGTTTTGCCATATAGCCCTTCCCACGAAAACTAAAACTTTATATAGGAAAAGGCTTAATTTCTAATACTTCTTGGTGAAAATTCGCTCAAAATGATAATTTAGGAATATTACCGCATTTGGGCCACGTAGATCTATTTCTTGGATCCCAACGCATACAAGGATTCTAATAAAAAATAAGGCTATATATACCAAAAAGGTTGAATTTTTAATACTTTATGATGAAATTTGTTCCTTAGTAAATTAAGCATAGAGAATTTGGACCATATAGCTATAGTATATAACAGTACTAGGACAGTACTGTAGGGAGTCTAATGAAAGCTAGGCTTTCTATCGCAACAGACTGTAATTTGTGGTCTCGTATGAGTGAAGCATCGGTAAAATCTTTGACATGCAAAGTAGGATTGCTAAATTTTGAACAGGTTAGTTGACATTTTGAGTACCCTCCATTATGAGGCCTTCCGTAAGAATTTTACAGTTATATAAATATAATATACAATTTTTGGTGTATTATTAAAAAAATGAGTGAATGACTGCATTAAATATAGCGGTGTAGGGTATCAAATAGCCGACTTTGACCGACTATAGTGCACCTACATGTCTTTTTTTGTTTAGTCCCAGGAGTTTATTTCTTCTATTCTATTATAATAACGATAAATACTATGGCCAGCGGCGGATCTCAACCATTCTTGAGGGACGGAAATATCGTCTTAAGCCATGAGCCAAATTTCGAGAAGTTCACAATAGGTTGCTTTATTTCCTATAACAAATGGAAAACTCAACATTAAAATAAACTCAAGATTTCAAGGTTTTGTAACTCCTTTTGCTTTGTCGAAAATCTGTTTGGAACGGCATAGCAAAGAACTTCTTAACTTGCATTCATGTTGGAGGTATAACGGTATTATAAATTGGACAATTATCCCAAGGTATGTGGTAAATTTTAAAAAGGTATCACCAATAAACCGTGATTACTTTCGAGGGCGTGGCTGATACTACGTACATGAATTTGTTTCCATCCAATTTTTTCCACATTTTTCTTTAAATTTCACGCTGAGTTCACAACTACTCAAAGATAAACGTAACTCAAAATACTGTTCAGCGTTTTTGAGAATTTTGTTCCACTTACCCGCCGACTTAAGGACTACAAATTGGGAACCCATTTTTATTTTAGCCAAACCTTGTTTTAGCCAAAGTGGTGTTGCTAAGTTACATCCAAAGCTGCCATTAGTTTTAAGAGATATTGGAAAAACTTGTCGTAGTTACCTGATTTGACAAACGATTACGAAAGAGCCTTGAGTCTATACCACACTTCTGGGAACATTTAAAAACACCATTGTTGGACACGACCCATTGTTAAATACTCGACATCACTTCGTTCCGTACAGTTATTCATACAACGACTTTTCGAAACAAGCAAGAACAATATAGTTAGATAACGCCGACTATTGCATGCCCTGCACTACTTCGCATAGTACAATTATTCACTGGTTTTGATTTTAATGCACCAAAAGCACATTACATTATTTTCAAGCAACGCTACAATTTTCATGAAACCCCGCATGTTAGATGGTGCATATAGTACTTTTTGCATGAATGTGCTTACGATTACCATTTGTTCGCATCGATGAAATATGTATTTGTCGGGCAGCGCTTCATGTCTTACGAATATTTACGAAAGTGGTTCGATGAGTAGTTTCACTAAAGGGGTCAGTCAGTTTTTTTTGATATGGTCTCCATAGATCGTTGGCGGTGAGCTGGGAAAAATGTATAGGTAGTACTTTGAATTAAGTTTTTTTTATCATTTTCATAAAGTAGAGATGCATTTTCTATACAAAACTTCATATGTATGCAACTGGTAGACCAGAAGCGGGGAAATTGAATATGTTCATGTTCTCAAACGCTAATAATTTCTGCCCAAAATCGTTCAAGCGAGCTTTGTTATAGCCGAGGAATGACGACCTCACCTAATGAACGAAAAAGGAGTAAACTATCTGGACCCTCTTTAGAGTTTGAAGAATTGTCTTTATTAATCACATATCATCTGAGGGAGGTGTGGATGTGTGCATTACTTTGAATAATTTGCTTTTAATGTTCTGCGTTTCTTCGTGCCGCACTTAATTGCACGATGATTTTTAAATGACACTTTAGAGCTTACCTGTATAAACCAGCTCGACCTTCTTCTTTCCAGACAAGTTATTTAAGCTATGTTTGATTTCAGGAATTAAAAAATGTAAAATTTGCCTGTGATATCAAACGAAAGTGAAACGCACGTCGGATGATTGCCGCGAAGATTTACGAATAAATCACAAAACTTGCGTCACTCAATAGAATTAAGTCAAATTTTTAAAAATCGTCACTGCGTAAAGAAGGTCACAAAAGCAATTTTGAAATACATTTTCTTTGAAGCAGCATAGCAGCAAATGGAAGTTGTGCGGGAATAACGTTCGAGCAAAAGGCCGTAGTGTATGTATTATAAGTGCGGAGATTAAACGAATTGTATAGCAACCATTGCTTAGATAGCAATCAGAGTTGCTCTCAGAGCTTTTATTATTATTATTACTATTATTATTTTAGACTAATGAAATAAATTCTTAGACTAAAAACAAAAAGACAATGAGCACTAGCAGCACAGGCTATCGGCTCTAATTTAAATAAATGGATATTAGATAATGAGCTTAGTAGTATTAATAAAGTAATATATATAGTATTGATATTCGGTTCTGAAGCTGATTGTAGAATGTCCAAAGGGTTAGTCGTTCCAAATGCAATACTTCTAGCCAAGGAAAAGTTAAGGCAGTCGCAGAGAATGTGCTTCATAGTGAGAGTTTGTCCACAACTGCAGCTTCAGTTTGCGAGGTAACGGTTATACGAGAGGAGATTCAAAAAATTGCCCCAACCACCAATTTAAAATGCCTGCTACTATTACTAAGTCACTTTTGCTGAGATGTTTTATAACGATTTTTCAGAATTGGACGTTAAATGGTAAGAGAATGATCGAAAAAGTGGACCTATGCGAACCACTTTTAACAGCTTTTATCAAAATATTTCAAAAATTCGGACCTGCAGATTGAGCACAAGAAAACATTACTGGCGGACGGGCGGACAGGCAAGCTTACAATGAATTCAGAAAATGACCAAAGTGTAGGACATAAAAATAGATAAAACAAATTTTTTACTGAAGCCATTTTTAAGGTTAGTCCCGTATATTTTATAATGAAAGCTTACACAGATAATTTTAATGGTTTTTTAAGGCTAAAGGATTCCTCACGCCCCTTTATTTATATTTACAAACTTATTTTCTTCTTAATCCAGAACAAATAAAATCTAATAAAAGTTGTCCAAAAAGGATTTCTTATAATAATACATTTTTATAAAATAATGGAAATGTTTATTCCATAAAATCCAGATATCAAAAGGAAAACAAAATCGCAACGATAAGAAATGTAAAAATTGTAATTGCAACGCTTCATTGCAAGGATAATACTAGCAGGCATATCTTTTTTCCTTTCCAATTTTAAAGGAAATTGAATAGAACCTTTGCTGCATAAGCCCTACGAATAATTTGATTTACATAATAATTTGTGGTTCTGGTACGCTGGCAGCTATGCTTTTGTGAGGCAATACTTGGCCGCCGTTAATATAGATTTCATCTTTAACAATGACATCCTCGCCCAATACGGTGATGCCTTCTAAGCGCACCCAACGTCCTACAACACAACGCCAACCAACAATGCATGAATCTAGCCACGAATGCGATTTAATAATGGCTCCTTTCAAAATTGTTGAACGTTTAATGCACACACCGTCTTCGATAACGACATCAGGACCGATTGTGACATTAGGTCCTATGCGACAACCGTTGCCAATTTTAGCACTTGGATCAACTAGAACATTACCAACAATCCCAGGACCCGAATGTAGTTTAGATGATTGTTTTTGACGTAACGAAGTCAAATAAAGACACATACCTAGGATTAGAATAAAAACAATTACAATTACAATAAAGAAATTTTTTTTGATTATTTCGTCGTCTATGGTGTATACGAAATGGTACGAATGCCAAAAATTACGAAATACTTTTCCCTGTCTTAAACGTAATAAGCCTGGTGCATTAAACGGAAATTGAAACGTTTGCAATATTCTCGTAAATTATTTCTCGGAAAAAGTTATTTACATTTAGAACATATTGAAGGAAGAGATGTGCGCCATCGCATTGCCGAAAAGGCAAAAATGCGTTCCAAACTTTCCAGAAAGCTTTACCATGTAAAAAAAAGGCAAACATAAGGGCAAACGTATGTGTGTTGGAATTGATTTGTCACATAGATTTTATCGTATGATGATTAACCGACAGGATAGATGGACTTTACCCTCAACATAATAATAAGAAATTTTGTATTTTGAAATTAACTCTCCGATCGACTTTAAACTCAACTATAATCCAAACGATTAACCGAAGGAACGTGGACTTGCGAAATCAACTCTAAATTCGCCAAGCATTTACGCACAGACACAGTATAAGCTTATAGTTTTATACATACCTGTTAGGAAATCTTTTGGTTGACCAATGTCCATCCAAAAACCAGCCAGTTCCATGGCAAATAATTGATTTTGTTCAGCCATAACGGGGAAAATTTCCTTTTCAATAGATGTTGGCCTCACCTCGATACGTTCCAATATGGAAGGATTGAATATATAAATGCCTGCATTAATTTTATTACTGACAAATTCTTGTGGTTTTTCTATAAAACTTTTTATACAGCCTGTTTCATCATAAAGGACTACGCCGTATTTTGATGGTTCTTCCACCTTAGTTACGACGATAGTGCCTTCTTTACCATGCGCCCGATGATATTGTTCTAATTGTTTAAAAGGAAAATCGCAAATAACATCGGAATTTAATACAAAAAATGGTTCAGAACTAGCATTAAGTATATTCTTGGCCAAAGCTAATGGTCCGGCCGTGCCAAGCGGTTCAGTCTCATGTGAGAATATAAGTTCTACACCAAGTTTTTCAGCTTCTATTTTAAGTTCTTTTTCCATTTGTTCGGCTCGATAAGAAACGGCTAAAATTACCTAAAAAAATGATTTGAAAATTCATAATCTTCCTTTATACATACATATATGCATATATATATATATATATATATATATGTATATACACTTACTTGACTACAACCAGCATTCACTAAAGCCTCTAGCTGATGCAACAATATAGGTTTATTAGCAAATTCCACCAATGGCTTTGGTGTACTCAATGTTAAAGGCCGCAATCTTGTACCATAACCACCCACTAATATCAGAGCTCTTGTACCGGTTATGGTATTTGCATTGGAACCGCACATCTTTCAATTTCTTTCTAAAGAAAACACTTTTCAACTTGTGACACGTCACACTTTTCGTTTTTTAGTTTTTTCGCGATTTCCCGTAGTAGTTTTGTAAAAGAAAAAAAAACTGATAAGAATCTCTTTTTGTTTATTTTTTTTTTACCAATCAGGTGTTATTTTTCCTGGAATTATTATAAAAATTCCTCTTAAAATGTTCTTCTCTCTTTCTCTTTAGTTTTAAAGTATTTTCCGTTTTTTTTTTTTTGTTTTGTCTTTTCGTTTTGATTTTGCAAGTATTTTGTTTATTAATTTTTTTATATTCTAATTTTATATAAAAATTTGCAATTTCTTCGCGCAATGTTTATTTTATAAATAACCTTTCATGCACATCTACTATTTTAATTCTCTCCATACCAGCCAAACGTTAAAATATTTGCAAAATAATGAGATGAAACACTTGTTTTTTTTTGTACTCATAAGCAAAAACACGACACGAAGCACTATAAATCAGCTGTGCTTTTAAAGATTTTCGAGAAATGTGAAGTTTTCAAGATGAGAGACATTCGTTCGTGTAACTATTCAAGAGCCATCCAACAAAAAAATAAATAAATAAACGGGAAATAATAAGATCTAAGGAAATGCGCGGAGTGCATTGCTTGTCGAAGCCTTTTCAAAAATAAAATAACGGCCATATAATTATTAAAAATATATTGCTTTCAATGAAAGTCAAGCGAAGGTGAAAATAGTTGAAATAATTTCACCGAAATCATTTTTTTTTCTTTAAAAAATTATGAGAAAGAAATAATCAGAAACACATGGACGAGTACTATATATTTTCAAATATATAAAAATTAGTAATTCTTGTAAAAGCCAAATGTCGGCCACTACTACTTCTATTTCGAAAAAGTCGAAAAAGTGTAAATAATGAAACTTGTCATTAATGATTTGATGGCCCAGGCTTACTTATTGAGTAGAATTAAAAATAGGAGTGTAAAAGCGAAGTGAAAGGTGAAAAAGTTTTTGCACACAAATAGGATAATTAAAATTTTTATGTTAAAAAAAAGGGCACGCGCCTGAATTAGTTTTCCTCTATACTTTTCCTTTTACGTCTTCTAAACTTTGAAATATGAAGAACCTCATTTTCCTAACTTCTTGAACCTGCCGCCCTAAAAAGAAAGTTTACACTCCTAGGAAATTGCTCTATTTCCTGAAGAAGCATTTTCGATTGCCTTAATACAAAGACAAATGTTGACAATGGCAGTAGTTTTATTGTAGTGCTTATTCAAGACGAGTATCAATAATAAGGAGAAAAGATGGAGAGAGAAGGAGTGGTAATTATCATGCGACATATAACAAAATAAAACCTACGTGAGCTTATAGCTATAGGTCCATTGTCCATTGTCATGCTGATACTGCTGTGAAAAATTTAAACATTTATCCTATCCAGTTATTTTGAGAGACGAAAGTATTTGTTTATTATTACTAAAATCTATTTGCCATAATGTTGGCCTTAGACGCTGGTGTAAGCAGGTAAGTGTCAATAAATTATTTTTTTCCTTTTATTGGATGAAAATCCTTATTCGCCGACTTTGCTATTTATTTAGTCATTAATGAGAATAATGCTGAGTTATGCTAAAATCATTTCGATTTTTTATTCTTATTATTTCTTATTACTACTTGGATAGCTACATTTTGCATTTGCGGGCTTGTTCGTTTTGTTTATTTATTATTAGAGCCGTATCTTAACACTAAACACAGAGATGTTAAAGTATGCAATAGTCCAATAAAAAGACGCTCCATAAAAACGTCTTAAGTCTTTAATCTTGAAATTTATTTCTATAATGATAACAATGGATGCTTACCTAATCAAATTGACGTGTTACACTGAACGAAATGAATTCATTTGTTTCGTGCATTAGTACAGTGATATTATATTGTAAATAAATAGAACATGAACATTAGAACATTACATTGCATACCTTCAGCAAAATGATATGATTTGAAAAACTGTCCATATGATTATATTTTGTTTACATAAATATTAATAAAGCGAAAAAGCTCTTTGAAATTTAATTTTGTCTGAGTGAAATATAGTTTATGTAAAGTTCGCAATAATTAATAATACAACATTTATAATTAATCGGTAATTTTCAATGTTGCAATGAAGTCGTTTTAATAAAAATGCAGATTATCACTTTAAAATGCGGGGGCTTGAAGTATTAATCATATGTATCGTAGGATTCTTTTTCGTTTTCACGAAAACATAATTATTTTGCACATCAGTATTAGCTAGCAATACACATGGAGTGAATGTTTTGTAGAAGTAGAGTAAAAGCGATAGCATTGCCGATTAGTTTTTCAATTTCCTCTTTAATTTGTTCCTAATGTATTTAAAAGGGGCCAAAATTTTCTATGATGTCCTGTAAAGTGAAGGACGTCTAATTTTTTTTTCCGAGTTTCGTTTATCTGGTTTTTTTATGCAAATAATTACTTTAAAAGTGTATTGATAGAAAATCTTGGTTATTAATAGCGCTAATATTTCTCTTACAAATATATTAAGCAGGTTTTAAGATGCGTCTATCTATAATTTCTCTTTCAATACACAATTTTTTTTCAATGTTTATAGCTGCTGGTTTTCAATGAAATTGCCTCATGCCGAATGTCAAAAGGGTTTTAAATTCAATATGTATACATTATACATTTAATCAATTAAACAATTTCTAATAGGTCTTGATGTTTGCTACAATTCGTGTCCATAAGAGTGGGGCCTCGTAAGATCCTCTTTTATGCAGGAAATTCGTTAGGTGCCTAATTTCAATATCTTCTTCTTAACCAATAAATTCAAATTAAATGCCAAATCATCTTCTGTGCGTGCCTACGCATTGCTTTCATTATGCTCCTTTTAAACGTCATAGTGTAATAAGCAAGAAAATAAGTTCTGTATTTGCAAGAGAAGTTGAAAAAAAAAATTTTGAAAAATTAAAACTATCGCGCCGTAGATTGGACAATAATTGCATGGGGACTGGCACAATCAACTGTCATTTTCGTTTTCGGGTTGAAAACTACTAAGTGGTAAACACAATGAGCAGCCATGCTACCATATAGTTTTATGGTAAAATGTAAACAAAATCAGATGGCTCAAAAATAAAGACAAAAAAATTTAACAAAATTAAAAAATAGCAAATTTTGTTCACCTTTATAATCTTCTTATGGTCCATCTCTAGTCGACATCCCTAAAAAAAAATGTAATCTGTTTAAACTTTATAACACTGCTGACAAGCTTTTTATACATTAATTGATCCATAATTTGGATCAATAGAATAAATCTATAGCTTTTTTCGCATTTCTTATAAAATAAAGAAAGGTATAAACCAAAACTGCAAATCGGATAATATATATATAACATAAATTAGACAAATAACCTTACAATTTAGAAAAAACGACCATAAGTTCTTGTGAATTTTTTTCTTTCTGTTTTATATAACGTTCTGTAGAAAGTCGTCAAAGTTGGAGACTCAACACGAAAATAGGAATAACGACGCTTTGTGTTAGCTCTCCGTATGACTGGTTACAGACGGGAAACATTGTCGTAAAATTAAGATTATCTTAATAATAATCTCCCGACGGGTGGTAACACTAGCTTAAGTATAAGTGTGGTAACACTGTTTCGTGTTCGAAGTTGGGATGTGAATTTTTTTTTGTGTGTATCGTCTGCCTTTTAGAAAAATATTGTATAATTATGGAATATTTTGAGTAATTTGTGTGTAAAAACTGCAATATTTTAAAAATAGGAAAAATTCACAAATATTGAAAGAGAAAAGGTGAGTTACAAAATTAATTGACAAAGTACTTGAAATTGAAATTATGTGTAATTCGTGTGGAAAAAAGTTCGACCGTCTTCCTGGTAATTTGCAGAAAAAAAAATTTTTTTCTTTTCTCTATTATTAGGGTCTGTCTCCAATATGGTTGATTGGATATAATATGGAGCATATAGAAAATTTGAAATTGTCTTCTTCAACAATTGTAAAAATAAAGAGTTGTGGAGAATAGGCACAGCCGTCTCATAATTTAGTGAAGGCTAGTTTTCAAACACAAAGGCATTTATATACAAAAACAAAAAATGAAACTTGCAAGAATTTTGAAATGATTTTATATATATATGCGTGTGTGTGTGTGTGTGTATGCGTATTATGTTTGCATGTATCCAAAAGGAAAAGATCGCGACTTGGGGAAACGTGGCTTAGCTCGTACTTTATTGATTTTCCAGTTTTATATTTCAAAATTATATTAAAAAATCGTATATTTTGCTTACAAATGACACAAAATATAACGTAATGAGTTAATTGTGCGTAGGAATTTCAATTGCAGGGATTTTCAGTGCACATGTATCAAAGATTTTTTCTCTGGAACTTTCTCAAATTTTGTTTTATAGCGATTATTTATATTATATTTGATTATCAAGCATCTAAACAAAAGAAAGCTTTACGATATCTAGTTTCCGGCTGGATTTTTGATTAAGAAAAAAAAGAGCATTCATTTTATATTGGTGTACAAGTGTAGAAGGCTAACAGCTGCTAGAAAATTCTTCAAAAATATCTCATGTTTTTGTAATAAACAGTTGACAGTTTTGGAAGTTTCTCAACAAATCAATGACTATTGAATAAACTTTACCTGTGGCTCAAGTTATACATTAGCACACACAATATATATATATATATATATATATATATATATACAATACACAATATATATACGCATATATATATTGTATATATGTATATTGTGTGTATATAACATATATTTTAGCTTTTGTATAATCATGCGAGTAGACGGAAATAAGTGGTTATGATTTCATCCCCTCAAGAATACATAACATAATAATCTAGCGACCGCGAAATGCTGTGCTCTTCAGTCCAGAAATACGCAACAGACGATCTACAGAGCTTAAGTAAGATTTTAAAGTTCCTTTTCATTTACACACCGCGAAGTTTTTCAGGTAATCTGGTCAATCGGGTTCGCATATACACTCCATATTTATTGTGAAAGCCAGATATTTCTAGCTTTAAAAAAAGCAAATTAAAATAATCACATGATATAACAAAAATTATTCTTTCGAACCGCACTTAAAGAAGAAAATGGTTGATGAGCGTTGTGCCGTCAATAAAATCTTCCATTATATTTGTATTTGGGCCGTAGTCCCAGCTTTTATTAAAAAAAATATATATATACTAAATCGACTAAGCCGTTTGATCTGCACAGCCGTAAGCATTCCATGATAGGGATAGTGAAAGGACGAGACGTATTAAACACTCCGGTCGAAAACTTTTATATTATGCAAGATGAAATTATTATAATTTTTTTAACTTGTTTCTAACATCACTAAATCGTTCAAATTTATAACATTTGTAATTATCAAAATATTTGAAAGCACTGCAAATGCCTTTTTTAATAGAATTTTTGCTATTAAAGATGGCAACATCGTAACCTAGTTTAGCGCACGGTTTTTTAATAATAATTCTCTTGATATTCGTACTAAACTTCATTAATAATAAAATAGAAAGAATTATTTTATTTTCAATTTTAGGCCGAATAAGTTTAAATTAAAACGCAAACTCTCCTAAACTTCAATTGAATAATTAAATACTAAGGGGGCCTAGTCAAGCGGTCCTGTAGGTTTTGCACAAAAAACGTATTGGATCGAAGGGAAGAAAAGTTAGGATATATTTTTCTCAAAACTTCGTATAGGAGACGATGGTAAAGTGAATGTGGATGAATGTATCTCAAGATTCGTTTACAGCTAAATGATGCTATTCTACCACTTGTTCGGCTTTAAATTTTTTTTTTGAATTCGCAGGGTCTGGTTTATTTATGTATACATTAGTGCCTGTTGTGAACGCATTTGTGTTTCATTCTGTTTTGTTTGTGTGCTTGTGTATGGCTATGAGAAGGATGCTGCTCTCCGTTTCTACTATATATAGATATTAAAAAAGCAAAAAAGCAACAAAAAAAAAAAAATGCCGTTGTATATATACATAAATTTTCGTAAAACATTTATAAGAAGGGAGTTTATACGACTGACTGTAGTGACTTGTTAAAGTAGTCTACTATTCGGTATCGCAAATAAATCAAATCCATTGAGCCCTTGAATTATGTTCAACATAACCATTATGTGTGTACATACAGTGAAGTCGTTCTCAGTCTACCTTTAAATCAACTTATTCTTAGCTTTTTTTTGTTGTCTTAACGGACACAAAAGGAAAAAGGAAATATATAAAAAAAAAAAAATAAATAAATAAATAAAGAAAAGACTCAACTTTCCTCTTCTTTTCGGTTTTATTTGGTTTTTTTTTTTTTTTTGGTGTTTTAGTGTTCGTTTCGCTTGTTATAACTTGATTCCTTTTGAGACGAGAAATATAGTAAATAAAAACAAAAGACAACAGAGCTGAAGATCAAGGAACCCTCTTCACATCCTACAATGAAGTTTTGTGCTAAAATCGACGATGGCCAGTACATGAGAGAATTTCAAAATATTGTCTTAACTTTAGCGAAACTAACCAAGGAGTGCGTTATTATTATTAAAAAAGATAAAGTGCATTTTATTGCCAATGAAGAATCAGGCGCAGCAGCACCTCTGGTATGGGTGGAAATTGATGCGAAACTCTATTTTACTAATTATATTATGGAAGGTCATAGCGATGATAATGGCTGTACCATTGTGCTAGCAGTATCACCGATTCATTTTAGCCGAGCTCTTAGCTCATTCAAATTGAATGCTCGAAATTGTAAATTCAAACTAATTCATCTTCAGTTCCCCTGTCTACGAACTGAAACGGAAGTGTTATCGCAAAGTTCCGGAGAACCTCGACAAATTGTTCATGATGTTCCCGTAACATTGATACCGCGTAACGAATGGGATTATTACGACTTGCCGCAAATACCTCGAGCTAAATTGATAGTGAAAGTACGTTCGAATAACTTACTACGTGGCCTCATCGATAAATTGAAAAATATTTCACCTACTTTAATATTCGCAGCCAATTCTTTGGGGGATTTGAATCTGGTGGCTAAAAATGAAATGGCCACGATAACTACATGTTTTAAAAACTTGGAAGTACAGACTCTAGATGATGAAAGTCAACAAGGAGAAAATATTAAAGTTGAATGCTCGGTTGATTGCAAGAAAACCTCGTTATTTTTTACGGCTTTGCAAGTGCCCACTTCGGAATTATCCTGCGGTATAGATGACGATCGTCTCATTCATATGGAGATAAATGTCCGCGGAGGTGTTTCCGTACATTCCATATTGCCAAGCGTTTGCGTTTGAAAATCATACATTATACAACATCGATCTGGCGAAATGTACGAAATGATTTTTAAAAAGAGCAAAGAAAAATAAAAAAAAATTGTTTTATATCAAAAGTAAAGAAAATAAATAGGAAAATTGTTGTACAAAAAACTTGTGAGAATCCTTCCGTTTCTATGACTCGAGGTTGAGCCAACCTAGCATTTAATCACTTCTGATCTGTACTGTAGAGACTGAACATAACCTCACTGTTAGAAATTGAGTTTGCTTTAAGGCTCAGAGGAACAATACCTCTCTTAGACTCAAAATTATATCCAACATACCCGCTTAATACTCATCAATAATATGTTTTGATAAAAGAAAGATATTTCAATAGGCGTGGTCGATTTTTTTCATTATTGCACTGATGGTGACGGATCATCCATACCATATAAAGGCAAATTTTTATGCATGTATCTGCTGTGATTTATAAGTAACAGATGAAGAATGAAATTTTTTCTATTTCTGAAAACTGAGTTGGTCTAAGATCATCTTGGGCTGTGGTCATGTTCTTTGATCCGTTAGGGTCGATCTCAAGACCAGCCTTCATAAAAAAGCTTGAAATCTCTATGCCACATTTGGACTGGATCGCTGAAATTCTTATTTTGCGCCCAATAGAATGTTTAACACGGACGGACAGAAAGAGAGATTTAAATCAGTTTGGAATTTACATACTATGCTTCCTTCTGGTTGTTGCAAACATTTTGACAAAATGAATATATTCTGTACCCCTCATCCTTTCGGGATGCGTACAGAAAAACAAAACAAATGGTTATGTGAAGAATTTCAAATCTTTATGTCAAATTTGAATCCGATCGGCGTAATATTGCGATCTGCAGACTGTCTATCACAGACGGACGGACAGGCTTAAAATTTATACACATAAAATTGAGCTCTGGTACTTTCTTCTGGATGTTGTAAACATTTCGATAGAATCTCATTCATCTCTTTCATCCTACGATGATGGATATAAAAAAAAAATGTATCGCTTTTTTTTCAGAATCTGAAGAATCAAAGCCAGGAAACAATTATTTGTAGTCCCAAGTCCAAGTTAAACTCAAGAACTTAAAGTCAAGAAGTCTTGAAATCGTTTTTATAAAACTTTGCGGTAGAGCCTTGCATTTTAAGTAACTGACCATTAAAGATAGATTGTCTCCACATATGCGATGTGATGGAAGTTTTAAATGAAGAATTAAACAAGAGCATTAGTGATAATAAGTATTTAAAAAAGCATTAAAAATTTGTTAGTGGATTGGAGAAAACTATGAAAAGATTTAATAATGGCATCATTTGTACACTCGCCAGACTTTCGTTTGTTGCCCTCTTTTTTTTTTTTTTAGAAACTGGTTATGTGATATAATGTACAATGAATTGTGATGGAGCTGCTGTAACTCAACATGTGGCTGACATTTGTCGATAAAAACTGGTTTTTTTGTTATGAGCCAAGGATTCAAGAACATCAATGCAAGCAGAAAACAAAAAAAAAAAAAAAAACAAAAAAAGATTAGACAGAACAACAACTAAAATAGACGGAAATGATTTTCCAGACATTAATTAATCTCTCACTTTTTGTAGGAAAATAGATGTACAACATAACGAGACGTAGATGACAGCCCATGTTTTGATTTTTGTTTAATCCCTTCATCATAAAGGGATGCACGTATAATTTTGCTTTACTATCTGGGGAGGGGGTTTTTCATTTCTTTTTTTTTTTCTTCTTTTTTATTATTTTGTTATCGATATTCTTTTGATATCGATCGGTCGAGGATTTGTGTGGTGCACTCTTTTGTTGTAATTTCAAAAGATATAAAAGTCAGATAATATCATATTCGAAGTGGTGTTGTTACCTGCATATGTGTGTGTGTATGTTCAGTAGTCGACTTTCATATAAATTTTAAAAAGTAGGTATAGTGTCCTAATTTATGCTCAGTAATGTAAGTCATGTAAGCATTTACATTGTCATGTTGCCGTGGCCTCTTTCTCTGGTTTATATGCGGCTGCATGCCTTTGTGTATGTGTGTTTTAAAACGTTTTCTCATTACTTGGTACTGTTTATTATATGTTGTTGTTGTTTTTGTTGTGTTGTTATATATAGTGTTGGCGTTGTTACCTCTTTGTTTTTGTTGTTTTGATTTTTATTATAAATAGAAAATTTTTTTTCTTTCTTCAAATTCATTGTATAAAAAAAAAAAAGAAGAATATTTTTACATACACCACAGGGGTTATGCTAGATATGTCAAATGTAATCCGCAATTTGCCGCAAAGACATTAATGTGAATAGCAAAATCGAGTCGGACGACATTTCCTCGAGTTGCATCATTTTGCAACTCCCATGTTTTTGATCAACAATAATGGCTATTTCCTTCGAGACATGAAGATCCTTTGAAATGTCTATTGAAATCACAATTACAACCTAAAATTTTTTTTTCTTCTCTTGCACTTTAATTGAGTAATGTAGCTTGCGGCCATCACCACCTTCCCCATTTCTTTGTCTTTCTTTTCTTCTTCTTTGGCTTTCACAGAGTGAGACATCCACTAACTGGTTGGTCATATTAAACAAAAATATGAGATATATAGGATAGGCGGTTCATGTCCCTTCAGTTAAAGCGTTTGGTTGCATCCACGGTTCAAATGATCCGAATTGCAGCAACAAAATGTGTCTCCGAATTCAACTTAGCCAAGTAAAATCGGCATTCATCAATACATGATTATAACTTGTCTCTATGGTAGAGCACACTTCTGACAACACCGAATCTATAACACTTTAGCTGTTATCTTTGTATTGCGTAGAAAAACCGTGAAGTCAATCATAAATGGGTATACTGGAACAGGGAATGGTTTCCTTCTATTTCCAAAAAAAAGACAGGGTAACGAAGAATAAAATTTCAAAGTGCTACCTTTAGTCTATAAGTTATCCCGTTCAAGTGGGTAGTACACAGATTTTAGAAGATTCCAAAAGGTTTAGTTCCAAAAGAACAGCGGAATGACGTGACTGGCGATAAGTAATGGATGCGTTACCCACAAGATTAAAAGCGAAAGTAATCACGAAGTAAATTAGACGAAAGATAAAAATTGACGAAAAGTATAAATAATTATGATGGCCACATTTGCCAGTGACTGAGTGTTGAGTGTAGCTTATAATGAGTTGCCTCAACAAAGTGGAAGCTTCACTACCAACACTGCCGCAAAATGAATAGATTATCATCGAAAATATGGCATTTTTCAACCCAGGGAGCTTCGGTGGTATTTGCAGCGCTGAACTGGAATTTATGAGTTTTGCTGCTGTATTTGTTAGATGTGATAGGTGTGTCCTCTTTAGCATTAGTTTCAATTGATAGTTTAGTGTGTGTTCGGACGGGGCTTCTTAAGGGTTTTTACAGGGGGAGTTGTCCTTTCCACACGGAACTCATACTCTAGTTAAATGTCTTAACACAGTTCCTTTTCCTTTCAAGAAGGAAGAAGCCAATTATTAAAATTTATCTTTACAATTTCCTTATAAGCTAAAGATGCATCCGCGAGCCATCAAAACCAAAAACGGTTTTTAGTATGTACATTTAGGTGTTGCTGCCGTATCACGTAAACATGTGACTTCAAATGTCAAACAATAAATCTCTTATTAATATTCAACATGAATCAAATGTCGCGTAGAAAGTAAGTCACATTTGTCATATTAGTCAGAGGTTCATAAATGCGATTTGCTGGAAACTCACAAGCAACCCCTTACAAACAAACGCTCGACGCCGTGATATAGCTGTTGCGAGTTATTAGGGCGAGTCATAAGTAATTTCCGTTTTTTGTTTGCATTGAATAATAAAATTATATTAATTTAACAGTTGATTGTGAGGTATTTAATCTCTTGTTGATTAGAGTACATTGACTTTAAAATATCGTCAAGATCGGCAGGACGTACCGTCGTATCTTGAGAACGGAATTTTACAAAGCAATTTCTAACTGCCCGATCTGTTATCAGTCCTTGATCGTATACGCTGCATATTTTTTCAACTGTCGCCTTAGCGCTATTGCCTTGTTTAAATTCGCAAAGCATTACATTTCAATTATGCAATTTTTGATTCTCCATTCCAGAGGTTAAGAAAAACAGTTGATTGTAAAATGCACCACATAAAACATTTCACAGAAGACTAACTGACTCCTCATATATATTAGGCGAACACAAGAACTCGTTTGTTTCTGTGACTTATAGTGGTTAAAAACAAGCAATAGATTTTATTTATCTACATTGGGAGTTTTTTACGACTCGACCTAATACTTAAGAGTTAAGCTGTTTGCACCAAATTATCTAGAAATCTAGGAAATCATTCGTCTGGTGTTTACTCCTGCGCAGTGATTGCGAGATATACTGATGTGCATTACACTTGCATTTACAGTGCAAGATATGTATCAGGATATCATTGCGTCACATCATACGGATCACTCTTTATTCTCTTTCGATCAGACAAAGCCGAATTTTTTCAAAATAAGTCGGTTACGAACACTCTTTTTTTTGAAGCAAATATAATCGCTGCTATTTGAAAATCTATCGTTATTCTTTATGATCGCGTATGTCCGCTAGCACTAATCTTACTCTGATTGACCCTTTTACCTCTTCACAATCTTGGGAATAAATTTCTTCTCTATGGTCTTTGGCTAATAGGTTGATTGAGCTTATCATTATGCGGGTAATCCTAATTTTCGTATTGAGTTTGCCTTTCTCATAAAAATATTTTAAAACATTTTCCTCTTTTACCAATGCAATTTTCTGCTTGGTAAAAGTTGAAATGTGACTAGGGATCTGGGATTATATGAAAAAGCCAATCTTTCATATTCATGTCTAGCTAATAGAGTGATTCTGTCAACACAACGACAGTGAATTCGCCTAAGAACTCTTAGACAAACAAATCATTTTATGGCAAAACTTTGCCGTAATTACATTTTACATTCGTGAAAATCTCTTGATTTAACCCGTTTGAAACTCTTGCCTTTTTCATGTTCTCTTCTCTAAAAGTGATCCATCCAGTGAAGCATAATTACTTTTCAATTTTTCGTACTTTTATTAATACTTAATTTGCGACATAATAGCTCCGATTAAGACGGTCTTTTCATAGTGCTTTGATATATTGAATTCTCTCTTTTTGGGGAAAAACTGAAACAAAATTTGAAAAAAATTAATATTGACTTGTTGGAGCTTAAACTTAGGTTGACTTTTTCAATAACTATAGTTTAAATAATGATTAAAATCTAACTTATTTCCGTTGTGTTTTGTGGACACAATTGCGAATCGTAAAGTTTGTTATGGTAACACCTTTAAAAAAACATATGGTTGTAGGAAATTTTGCAAAATTGTAAATCCTAATATAAATTAAATTTTTGGAATAATATTAACTAACTATCCACGAAGTGTTATGTTGATCATGTTAGGTCCAACATGTCAAGTCTTTACATATCCGAAAGCGCTCGCACAGGTGTTTTCTAAAAAAATAAATGATAAATTTTGATTATGGTAACACCTTTAAAAAAACATGGTTTTAAGAGATTTTGCTAAGTTAGACGTCCTCATATAAAAATTAAATGTTTAGAAATATGTTAACTATCTGCAAAGACAATATTAAGTCGAACATTAGGTCCAAAATGTCAATTCTTTATTTACACGAAAGCGCTGGCACTGGTCTTTTATAAATGCAAAAAGAAAACATTAAAAAAATTTTTTTATTTCATTTACTCTTTTGTCAAATTTGAAATCTATTTTTCTTCATAATGATTAGAAGAGAAATAAGAAAAAAATTGAGGAGTTAAATGCGGTTTCACTTTTTCATCACTTGTCAAAAGTGTGAAAACAAAAAACACATGACTAAACTTTTACCAATACGTAAAATAGACTGCACTTTAACCGAATAAATGCCCGTTAACCTTCTCGTGTCTTTTAGTGAATAACGATTTCGGAAAATTGGAGGAAAATCCAAGCATATATTATTATGTGCAATGACCGAATAGCTTCTTATAATGAGATTTTATACTACGTTTGCAAAAGATTTAAGGCATTTATTGTGACTTACGATAGTATCCGGTCGAGGGTGGTCGACGAAAACAGGTCGTGAACCTGTATATGAATGTCTTTCTAAAAATCCCATCCGTTGCTGCACGCACACACAACACACCCATTTGTTGTTATTCAAGTATACTTTGTTCTAGAGAACATATTTTTTTTTTTTACAAGTTCTCAAAACGCTGAAAAAAAAGGAAAAAAG